CCAATTTCGTCGTCTGTGATTACCAGTCCTTTGATCATCAAATTCATTGCACCGGATTAACCGAATGCTTGTTTGAACATCCATGTCTTCAATCTTTTTCGAAACACCATCAGCGAGGGGGCTGATCTTACCTCTATGGGGAGGGCGTTCCAAAGCCGAGGGGCCACCACAGAAAAGGCCCTGTCTCTCGTCCCCGCCAGCCGCACCTGTGAAGCAGGCGGGATAGAGAGCAGGGCCTCTAATTGTTTTAATATTTCTATGTTTGCAGATTTCAAATTGCGTTGAACTGATTTTAATGCAAGGCACTTTGAGTCTTTTTTGTGGAGAGAAAGAGTGGGGTATAAATAAAGATAATCATAATGATAAAATAACAATAAATAATACACAATCTGAGAATGTACTTGCCACAACACTCAGCAAACCCTTGTAAATAATAATCATAATCATCACCATCAAGCCACATGTGTTTCATTAAGTAGACAATTTATTTTGATAAACTTGCTCAATAACAAAAATACAAGTGAAGAAAATTATGTCAATTTTATACAGTTTGTATTCATATTTTGTCTGGAAACTAATGGCAAAAGATGTCCGAGCCAATTAGAAAAGAATTCTTAGCGGTTGCAGGTTGGTGGCAGATGCAGTGGAGGGTCAAGGGAGAGAAGAGACATCAACAAAGACCTGGGCCCAGAATTGAGCTCTTCTGGGGCAAAATGAGCAACTCTCAAGCAAAGAGACCTCCTTGAAAAAGCTACTTCCTTCATTTCCCCCCAACCTTTCATAGGCTTTTGCACATTTTGAAATCAGGCCAAGCAGGGACTAAAATGCACTTCAGGATTGGGACAGGTATGGATGGAGATGTAGCAGAGAGTTTGGTCTGGACGGTCCCTATCCCATCCTTGGCCCCGGTAATTCTATCTCAGGCAGATCACAATCCTCTGCAAAATGAGTGGCATTAAATATCGGCAGACAATAAAGAGAGATTCCTGGAGGGAAAAGAAACCACAATGCAGACATTTTGACAATGAGAAAGCCATTTGTGTGAAATTTATTGGTGACAGACAAAAAGACCATACAAATTTATCCGTAGCCCGCCTAAATGAGCGCAGATTGAGATATTAAAGGGTGTATTCCAGGCTGTATACCATAACATTGGATTCATGGGGGGGGGGGGGGGGTCGGTCGAAAGAGCAGCTAAGTGAAGGAGCCTGATTTAATACGGATAAGCTGCCTTTACAATCAAGCTGGCAGGATTTCAAAAAAGGATTCTGTGAATGTTTGCTCGATTGAGGAAAACTTCCTTGGGCAAAATAAGAAAAAGAATGATAGTCGCTGAGCCACATTAAGGGCACTGGCATTTGTTCCAAAGCCTAAAAAACATATTTTTTGGAAAAAAAAACCATGTGCAAACAAAAGCGCAATGCTCTTAGGCAAGGAAATGCATACCCTCTGAACCAGGCATGGTCAAACTTTGGCCGTCCAGGTGTTTTGGACTTCAACTCCCAGAATTCCTAACAGCCCCAGGCCCTTTCCTTTTCCTTAAGCGGATGAGGGGGGAAAGGAAAGGGCCTGAGGCTGTTAGGAATTCTGGGAGTTGAAGTCCAAAACATCTGGACGGCCAAAGTTTGACCATGCTTGCTCCAAACACTCCCCTCTCCTGCAAAGTAACAGACAGAAGCCAGACGAACAACTGCACCATAAAACTGTGTTTTATATACAGCATACAAGATATGGTCTTTCCGCTATAAATTAATAATACTGCATTGTTTGTGAGTTTGTTGAAAATAATGGTTGATCCTCTCTCTCCCCTTCGGCTCCCTTTCTGTAACAGCTGTAAGGACCCCCCCCCCCGCCCAAATAGAATAATTCAATGTGTCGTTGGGATGAACCCAAAAGTCAAATGTGGCCATCTTGGGTATTTGGGGACGTGCCTGTAGATGGGTCAAACTTCCATTCATGGACGGGATGTGCTCCATGATCGATCACACACACACACACACACACAAAAGAAATACAGACCAATAACATTATGTGGCAAAGGGTATGTGTTTTACTCGTTTCAATTTGAGGAAGTCAAATAGGTGGGGATTTGGGTTGCTGTGGGTTTTCTGGGCTGCATATGGCCATATTCCAGAAGGATTCTCTCCTGATGTTTTGCCCACATCTATGGTAGGCACCCTCAGACATTGTGAGGTCTGTTGGAAACTCAACAAATGAGGTTTATATATTTGTGGAATGTCCAGGGTGGGCACTCCTCACTTGCCTAGTTTCCTACAGACCTCACACAATCTCTGAGGATGCCTGCCGTAGATGTGGGTGAAACGTCAGGAGAGAATGCTTCTGGAATATGGCTAGACAGCCTGGAAAACTCACAGTAACCCAGTGATTCCAGCCATGAAAGCCTTGGGGATTTCTTTTCTTTGTCATTCTCCTATAATGCTGCTTTCTCATAAACACAGTGCCCACTTAAGAGATGGCCTGCAATTGTGCAGAGAACTGGCTTCTTGGAACTCTTCCAGTTTACTTAACAATGGAGCATGGATGCCTTGGCCGCTGCCCCATTTCTATTGGACGGACCTCCTTCTGGCTCTTTGCTAAGCACTGAATACACATGGTTCAGGGCTTGCACCTTTCTCCTATAAGGCAGCATAGACACACATTTTCCCATTTTGTGATCTGGTAGACGGCACTGCATGGCAGGCTGCTACTACAAACCCAGAGGCAGAAACACTATCAGCAAAGAGTTGTTGTATGTTTTCCGGGCTGAAACATTCTCTCCTGATGTTTCACCTGCATCTATGGCAGAGGTTGTGACCTCACAATGTCAGGGGAAGCGTCAGGAGAGAATGCTTCTGGAACATGGCCAAACAGCCTGGAAAACATACAACAATCCAGTGGTTCTGGCCATGAAAGCCTTCGACAATACTATCACAAAACCTAGGGAGATGGCAGGAGAACTCCAAGAAAGAGAAACATTTCTCAAGGACTCCATGGAACTATCTGCAATACATCTTTGAAGAAAGACATTTTTATCATAAAGGTCCTGGCGACTACAATTAGCACTCAGACTTTCCCCCGGACAGAGAAATGAACATTATTGATTGGCATAAGCATCCATGATTAAGTATCGGTCCCTGGATTGCAATTTTCTCATCTAAACTCAAGGTTCTTCTGAGCCCTTTCTGTTAACAAGACCCAGTTTACTCACATGATGTATTTTATAAAGGACTTTTTTTTTTCAATTGAAGACGAGCAAGTCCGAACTGGGGCATATTTTAGGAGAACACATCAGACTTCACAAGGTTTTTTTTTCTTGTTGTAAGAATTCATCAGCCAGCTGAGTGAACCAATTGGACTGCAAACACTCAAAAAACAAAACACAGTTATATATTTGGGGTGTGTTGTGTCAATCATTCATACAGTCGACAGAAAAGACAATTTGACAACATCATGAAGTGACCCCCTTGCAACAACTGGGAAAGTTTACATGATTTTTTTCCTTTTAGCATTTGGAACTTATTCTGCCACAGAGAGCCCCACATTTTGCTACACATTTTCCATACAATTATCCAGGACTGCTGTCTAATCCAGAAGGGAATCTTAGTCTCCGATAAGGGCACTGGCTGCCAGCCTGGGAATCCTATGTTCTTCTGTTGTGATGATGGTGTATCCGAACACACACATATAATATTTGTGCAGACGTTAGCTCTTCCCTTAGGGAAGGAGCACCACCGCATGTTATACTACAAGTACGTAGTCAGTATTCCCCAAACAATTTGTAGTGACTTCTATTGTAGTTGTTGCAGTAAGAAATTGGCTTCCCATGACCTCAATCTCTCTCAGATCACTAGTTCAAAAGAAATAAGCATTTGATATTGAACTGTGTAGTTGGTATCAGGCATTTACCAATGCAATCTGCCTTGGCAGGAGGTCGAAACACATTGCCTGTGGCCAATGATGTGCCAAGAACTATTAATGTTGACAGGTTGGTGAGTAGTGTTTCCCAGGACACTGGCAAGAGGTGGTTGCTCAGATGTCCCTTTCTGGCCAACGTAGACCAGCTGTCACCTTTGGTAGAATACTAAACGCTCCCTTGACACAATTGCGAAGTGCCCTGCAACCGAGTGGAGTGAGCAAGAGTAGCTTGCGAGAAGGCATGGGTGGGGACACAATTTTTGTGCATTATGGAGGACCAAAACAGAACATCAATTCATCACCTTGTTCTTTTTGATAGCAATGTTGGATCTGAACATGAAAGTATGTTCCTACATGAATATAACAAACAAAGAAAAGGGTCATGGAGAGAGATACCCACCTCCAGAACGTAACAGTTGCCCATAATTTAAGTAGTGTAATTTCCCGTCACGAGGTTGGGACCGTTAAAGAGCATGACATGATTTCACCTTCTATTCCCAATATACAAATAAATTACCATACAAAGAAAAAACAAATGAACTGTCTTAGCTTAACTTAAAATTGCACCTAGGAAGGCATGGAGTTGTTGTATCTGTTACAAAAAACCAGTTATAACCAAGGGCTGCTACAAAGAATGAGGTAAACTGAAGACTTCCCCAGCTATGCAGCCTTCAGATAAATGGCTTTGTTTTCTCCCCCCACCCCTTTTTTCCTTATCCAGTTCTAGGTTTTTCACACCACAGTGTTTTGCTAGTGAGCTCCCAAGAAATACTCTTTAAGGAACTTGTGTATGTTTGCGCGTGTGAGTTTCTGTCTGTCTGTCTCTGTCTCTATATATATACATATATATGTATACACATTCTGCATACTGCATCAGCAAAATATATATATATATTTATATAAATATAAGGAAAAATTCCCAGCCACCTTCCCTCCCCGCCCCACAAAGTTCCTTGGTGTTTGTACAGATTGCAGGGTTGGGGCCAGTGGCAGATGAGCATTTTTGTTGTAACCAGTTTCCAAGAACACCTTTTGATCTATTGGCTTCAGGGTGTAGTTAGTCTAACATTGATCTGTTCGCTTGATTTGTTTTTGATGGCAAACACTTCTTGCCTCCTACAGAAAGAAGAGGCTAATCTCCTAAAGAGAGTGAGGCCAGCCCCACTTCCAACTCCCTTGGCAAACCTCTGGTCAACCAAAGTCCATAAATACTTTTTGAGATTTTCAAAATTGTCACATTTTCTTTTCAAGGTACAGTACAGCGATGTGGAGAGGGGCGACGGCACAAGAACACTGCTCGGTTATGTAGAAAATAAATTCTCCTCCTACGCGAGTTCCTATCACAGTGCACACTTGACCGCATCCAGATGCTCAGGAGATGAGTCAAGATTGTCTGTATTTGGTTATGGGAAAGGCTCTCCATTGTAAAAATAAAATAAAAATCTTAAAAAAATCCAAAGTGCATAGTGAAAACAGAGACCTCCTTCTTCCGGTTAGGTGGGCAACAGCCCGACACTGGCATCCTCCCGAGAATGCGTAGGGCGTCCTACTCTCCTTCATGACTGAACGGTGCAGCAGCTAGATGTTCGTCAGCCCGGTAAACATACTTTGCCAGCAAATAGAAGTCCCACTATTGTAAAGAAAATGGATAAAACAAACAGTACGTAAGATGAACCAACCACTGTGTTGTTCGGCAGTTTATAAGGTTGGCCTCCCACTTCATTGATGTAAAATCCTATGGGGAAGATTAGGGCTGCCATGCAGAATAGGACCACTGTGGGGTAAAGACAGAGAGAGAGAGAGAAAATAACAGGTTAATGAAATTCTGATTGATGAGGCAACACCAAAACCACACAGTCTTTGGAACTGGGAAGTTTCATTTAGCTCCATCTCAGATTACAAAGGTACCTTGGGACATCACTAAGTCGCTGCCTATCTTTCCTTTTATATGCCCAGTCCATCTTACCAGGCTTTTTGTCCAATCAAATCTCCCTATACAGACCATCTCGTGTACTGCGATCAGCGGAAGAAGCCCTCCTCTCATTCCCACCCCCGTCACAAGTGCGCTTGGTGGGAACGAGAGGGGACCTTCTCTGTGATCGTTCTCTGTCTCTGGAACTCCTTCCCCAAAGAAATAAAAATGGCACCCTCCTGTCCTTTAAATAATAATAAACTTTATTTATATTCCACCACCATCTCCCCAAAGTGACTTGGGGAGACTTACAAGGCACCCCATGGTGCACATATAATATACAACAGGTTAAAAACAGTACAGAAGTATAAAGCAAGTCACAACCCCCGTCAACACATGTAACATAAAATCAAAATAATACAATTTTAAAACAACAGTAGATAAAACTAACAACCATCAACTCACAAGGTACCAAGAATCAGCTTCATTAAGGGCCCATTCAGCCTACTCAAGGTCAAAGCCTGTCTGAATATCCATGTTTTCAGGTTGGAATTGAAAGATTGAAGGATGGGGGCTAATCTAATCTCTTTTGGAAGGGTATTGCAAAGCTCTTGAAAATGCACTTGTGCACTTTGGCATACAGAGAGGAGGAGGATTAGGACATTTCAGTTCCACCGAAATGCTTGCTCACCTATCTGTATTCCACCGCTGCTATGGGACATGAGAAGAACAACCTTGATAGTCATTTTAATGTATTTCCATTGCCTCTTCTAGGTTTTATTTCTAAATGGTTAATTTACATTATTAGTATAATTAGGTTTATTTGATTATTTGTAATTGCTTCTCATTTTGGTGTTAATTTTGATTTTCTCACAAATTTATGGTTATTATTTTTGTAGTATTCTGTTTTTTAAAAAAAGTGCTTGTATCTGAGTTGGGCATTTAATGTTTGCCTTTTTTGTGTGTAAACCGCCCTGAGTATTATTATTATTATTATTATTATTATTATTATTATTATTATTATTATTATTTTCTGCAATGATAACAAAATGCCATCTGACAACACAATGGTTGATGGTTGTTCTCATGCTTTGGAATTCTATTTCTTAGGAGGTTACAAAGGAAAATGCAGTTCCTCATTGATTCAAACCATAATTATTTCCACCATTCTCTTTTGGGCTGTAGGAGTGTTTTGAATTGTTTCAAATTATTATTTATTCTGTGCTTTTCTTTAACTGCAATACAAATTTTACTTAGTTTTGATGTAAATATTGAAAACTGTGCTATATCAAATGGCACAGAAATATGGTAAATAAATAACATTAAAAGAATGTGTCTTCTTAAGCCAAGCCAACAGATCCTTACCCAGATTGGGCACTTCATTCTTGGAACAGGTCCTAACCTTCAATTAATATAAGAGAGAACATATTGTCTCTACGAAAACCATTTTTTCTGGTGTCAGATCTTCCAATACCAGATTGTTTCATGTCATTTGGACCAAGGAAATGATTACCAAGGGAAGATCTTTCTCTGGGACAGGATGGTTAATATGTTCTCTTCAGATAGACTCACCATGTACCCATATTGGCATCATTTTAGGGCTGGCAAATAATTTTTTAAAATAATTCAGATCAATTTCTTTAGAGGGCACACATAACTATACTATTAACACATTATAAGAGTTGGATTAATATTATATGCAACTATCTTTTTTAATGCATGTTATGCTACATCAGGCATGGGCAAGCTTCGGCCCTCCAGGTGTTTTGAACTTCAAATCCCACAATTCCTAACAGACGGTGAGCTGAACTCCAAAACATCTGGAGGGCTGAAGTTTGCTCATGCCTGTGCTACATGAATCTTCTAATTAGAAATTGTTGGGAACTTAATCTGGATCTTCTACTTGCAATGTAGACTATATTGACTTCCAATGTAGAGACTATATCTTAATGGCTGTCCATGAAATTACGTTCCCAATGGCTAGCCTTTTCTCAACGTTGTCCAACAAGTACTACAAGTACACTGAAATGTCTATTTTCCTCCTTTTATACGAATGCAAGCTCATACAACTGAGTTAGCAGATTAATTTACAGCAATGAGGCATTCCCAAGTCTAGTAGGGAAATGCACACAATGAGTCATATAAGCGATGTGGACTAGGAACACATTTGTTTTCTCTCCTACAGCCATACCAGAAAGATCTCAAATACCTTCTATATGTCAGATTCAAAGATAAACAAACAATAAAAACAGGGCAATTGAATCCCTAGTATGGGCCTAATCCAGTTCATCGGTGCCCCCAGTTTAGTCCATTTCTCAACCCCTCAGAAGGATAACAGAGCAGGGGGAAAATAGGATCTAGCCTGAGGCCTTCATTGCTATGTTCACATTCAGGGAAGGCAAAGACAGCCTTGGACTGCGAGAAGATCCAACCAGTCCATCCTCCAGGAAATAAAGCCCGACTGCTCACTGGAGGGAAAGATACTAGAGACAAAGTTGAAGTACTTTGGCCACATCATGAGGAGACAGGAAAGCCTAGAGAAGACAATTATGCTGGGGAAAGTGGAAGGCAAAAGGAAGAGGGGCCGACCAAGGGCAAGATGGATGGATGGCATCCTTGAAGTGACTGGACTGACCTTGAGGGAGCTGGGGGTGGTAACGGCCGACAGGGAGCTCTGGCGTGGGCTGGTCCATGAGGTCACGAAGAGTCGGAGACGACTGAACGAATGAACAACAACAAAAGACAGCAGGGAGGAATCATCTAGGAATCTCAGACCTCTTTGTGCCTTAGCTTTGAACATTGCCAGCTCCTGAAGAACCAGCAGAATTGGTGCTGCTTCACTTTCCCGATACAGAAAGAGTAAAAGGTGGTGCTCTAGAGAACTGTCTGGAAAAGTTCCAGCTTACTTGATGTTTGAGAAGCCAGTCTCGGGGGCATGGCTGCAACCTCTAAAGACGTCTGGCTTATTTTTTTGTGTCAGAAGCTAATTGAGAAAATATTGCAAGTGGCTTCTGGTGTGAGAGAATTGGCTGTCTACAAAGACGTTGCTCACGGGACACCCGGATGTGTTACCATCCTGTGGGAGGCTTCTCTCATATGCATGCGTGGAAGCTCGGGCTGACAGACAGGAGCTCATCCTGTCTCGCAAATTCAAACCACCAACCTTCAGGTCAGCAGTTCAGCCAACACAAAGGTTTAACCCATTGTGCCACCACGGCTCCTACATCTGGCTTATGACAGGTTGTCAGTTGGATGGGAAGACAAACCTCCAGCTTTAAGTCACAAGGCTCAAGTTTCTATCTATGGCTCAATTACGCCAACAAGGAAAATGACAATGATGACAATTGCTATGGTAATGGACTATGGACAAGCTTGATGGAGTCTCCGACCTCAGAATTTGGCTAGATAAGGCCATAAGGCTGTTATATTTAAGTATGTTTTAATTGAATTGACTTAATGTTTTAAATGTATGCAATTATTGGTTTATTATGTATTTTACTATGTGCACATGGAAGCATCGAATTGCTGCTGGCTGGAAGCCGTCCTGAGTGTCCCCCAACCCCACCCCGAGGATTGAGAAGGGTGGGGCACAAATATTTGAAATAAATAAATAAAGATTATTTATTTATATATTTACTGTATTTCTATATCGCCCTTCTCAGCCCGAGGGCGGCTTACAGAACGGCACAATTTGATGCCACAATAATATAACAACAGTTAAAAGCATATAACATCCATAAAATTCCATAAAAAATAAAATCAATAAAACATAAAACCTCTGCATCTAATTTCCTCTGTATACCTTTTTACATCCAGGAACCCTGCCATAAGAGATTAGACAAGCGATAAGTAAAGATGGGGCCTTTTTTATTTATCCAATTAATGTATCCAACTTTATCAAAGTTTAAACCAGACTTATACATGAACATCAAATCCCAAGATTACGATTGTTATTTTTAGACTTCTGGGGTCTCTTTGCTATTTTGTCCAGCAATGTTTCTAAAATGTCTATGAATTTCTATTCTTTCAATGAGCAATGACATTAGAAATGTTAACAGAAAGACAGAATGTGAACATAATAAATAAAATAAGGGCACAATACACAAGCCATGTGAAGCAGATGCAATTGTGCAGACCAAAAAAGCCCTCTGCATTAATAGTCTGAAACAAACATGTAATAAATGGCAAGTGACTATAACCACTGAATACCTACCCAAATCACAGAGCAGTCCCACCCAAATTTCAAATGCAGCAAAAAGGCTTAATTAATTTTATTGGGACTCAGAACCCTTCCACACAGCCACATAATCCATAATATCAAGGCAGAAAATCCTACAATCCACACTGCCATATATTCCAGTTCAAAGCAGAAAACATGGGATTTTATTCAGCTGTGTGGAAGAAGCCTCCGTTCAACCATACCGCTAGAGGGAGCTTAAAGCTTTCCATTCATGCAGTACCAGAGGAATGATGCTAATGGGGGAAAGGGATATGCATTTAATACATCAAGGGGTACTTTACCAGTAAGCCCCTAATTCAAACAGCTTGCAGCTTTGCCATCTGTAAATCGACTGCACAGTTGTATTTGTTGGTTACACTGGCAGATTTTTAAGTGGCAAGGGCAGTGAAATATCATTCTTGGCTCTGCAACTTCATCATTAGCATCGGATGCATGCTGGGTCTCCACATGCATGCAGAGTGAGGTGAGCGAGGGTGATAGGATGGATTTAGTTCTTCAAAATAGAGGTGGTAGATATCAGTTTTGATTATTCTTCTATGTTGAAAGAAACCTAACTCCTTGCTCAGAAAAAACAGTACATCCAAAAAACAAAGGCGCCTCTTTCCTTGTCAGAGAGGCTCATTCAATGTGCCCCCCTCCCTCCATCTGCAGCCTAAAGTGGTGCAGTCTATTCTTCCACTTTACTCCACAGAATGGCAAAGCCAGGCTTTTATTTGCCTACAATAACAATAGGATTTTATTTTGGGATGTACAGCAACCCAGAGCAGAGAAGTACCTTAACAAGAACAACAACAAATATTAAATTAAATGTCCTGTTTGAGATGAAGGTCAGGTCTGCTTGTGTTGGAATGACTCTTTAATAATAAATATCTGAATGGCTCCAAGCATCTCCGTATGTTATTGTCTCCCATTTGAAAATAATACAACAGTATTGGTCTGAGAATCAAAACAATGTGTTCCTAATTGGCTCTGACTCCCATAGTCCCCGAAGAATATACACTCATATTAATTATTATTTGAAACACAACAAGATTAGTACATAGCAAGGCACACTGGGTGCAGTGCCTAAAGACCTTGGCCTGCACTTAATCACAATCGGCTCTGACAAAATTACCATCTATCAGCTGCAAAAGGCCACCCTACTCGGATCTGCACGCATTATTTACTGAGCCATCACACAGCCCTAGACTGTCTGACGTGTGATCCAATACAACAGCCAGCACAGTGATCTTGTTTGTTGTGTACTAATCTTGTGTTTCAAATTTATACCCCATCCTATCTCCCTGAGGGAACTCAGGGCAGTTTACAACAGATATCGGTAAACCTTCCCCTCATTTCCTCAAAATCTAAAATGGGACAAAGTCGCTGATGTAAACCAAAATAAATACAATTCTACTTTGTCCGGCCACTTTTCCCACACAGAATTACATTTGCCCAGGTCTTCCTATTGACATAATCAAGGGTTGCCCTGTTGAATCCAGTTTTGGATCCTGTACCACAAAGAATAGAATACAGCAGGGTTGAGGATTTTTAGTCTTCTGAGTGTTTCCGAGCATGTTGTTGGACATGCTGGGAGTGGCTGCTGAAAACCTCAGGCAAAAACATCTGGAAGGAGAAACTGACTTATGCCAGATCACACTATTAGTCTGCTTAGTTAGTCCATCTACGATCTTTTTCTGACTGGTAAAGGCACTTCAAGTCTTGGGTGGAGGGTTTTACTCCATCATTTACTACTTAAAAGTAACTGCATATGCCAGGAAATGAACCTGGAACGTTGTGCTGTACTACGTACTTCTGGGAGCCAGTATTCTTCCCAGAAGTGAGGAAGCCCACAGCTAGGCTCTGTGGCAGAAACCCTTCCCTGCTATTTCCATTCGCCTCTCCCCCAGCATTCAAAATTGGAAGGTGGAAGTCCTATCTAGCTTGAATGGTTGCGACTGCAAATGACTGCTACTGCTATTGCCACTGTTTGTAAACTAACGTATCATTTTTAGAACTATGATGTTATTGCATTATTAAGAAATATTCAGTTTACTTTGCTTGTGACATATAAGAATAAAGAAAATAAAAATACTCTGCTAGAAGAAAAGGGGTGTCCAGGCAGTGTTTTTTGCCCTTTTGCAGAGGCAGAAAACATTGGCTTGGTTATCTGTCCTTCAGTGGATGAGAGGTAAGAATGAACAGCTAGAATATAGATGCTTTCTGTACACAAAGACGCTTCTGGCTCCCATGGGGAGAGAAGGATCTGAAAAGCTTGGAAGCAGCTCCATACACTGCAGGGTAGGCAAGAATGCTCTTTTGCTGACATCCCAAAAGACAAGGTGACTCTGAAGTTTGGCCTGCATCCCATACCTATTCTTGAGTCACACAAGGGGACACTTACTTCCAGTGAATGCTATCCAGCGTGCATATTTAGTTGCTTCTCTTCGCCAGTGGGAAGCCACTAGCAAGCCACATGTGACAGTCAGTGAAATGATGCCCATGATGATGAAAAATAAGGTGGTGACCCACTCAGGAGGCAACCGAGGAGGGATACAGGTCCTGTCACGTCCATGAATGGTTTGACACTGTTGCACAAGGCCAACTGTGAGAGCACCTGAAATGACACACACAAGCCATTAATGGAGGTTTCAGGGAAAGCAAATCCTGACTGTGTCCATTTCTCTAGAAATGACAATATTCAGAAGAATCCTGCTATATCAGAAGCAAAATTCAATTTTATTCAGAATTTTCTCTCCTTACAAAGACTTATTAGAGGCCCAAAAAACAGGACAATAAAGCCAACAGTACTCACCCACTATGGTTTCCCAGAAGTTAATATTCAGTAGCATGTTGCCTCTGAATCTGGAGATTATACATAGGCATATAATTAGCAGCCAGTGCTTTAAAGGTTTCAATCAGAGCTTTCCAAACTGTGTGTCACGACACTTTGGCGTGTCAGTGGCAGTGTGAACTGTGTTGTGTGAAGTAACAAGAAACCACTATGTGAAATAGGTAATAAATCATACATTTTAAAAAAATAGACATGAAATGTTTTCATGAGATATGCCACATCTCTAAACATTTTGCTCTTACAATTTATGTATGTGGCCATGTTTCTTATAAGGCAGTGGTTCTCAACTTCTTTTGACCAGGGACCACTCACCAACATTAGTACCAAAAGGGTTGCGAATCAGGTTTTAGCCAACTTTAATAATAATAATAATAACAACAACAATAATAATAATTACACTTTATTTGTACTCCGCCACCATCTCCACAAAGGGGACTCAGGGCAGCTAACATGAGCCCAAGCCCAAAATTACAGTACAGAAAAATGAAATACAAGGAAGCAAAAATACCATTAAAATAAATACATGAAATAACAAACTTAAATAAACAGTTTCAAATTACCATGATAGAAAAAAAGAACACAATGGGCAGGCCAAATGTACTAGGTTCAAATTGATAAAATTGAAAAAACCCTGGATGAGATAGGTAGTGGAAGAATGTGTTTCTGAGGGAGGAGCTCAAAAGGAACGAACAATGGGGTTAGACCTTCATTAAGGGCAGGGGAAAAGTGCATCATGAGGACGGAACTGTAGTTGCGACAAACAAAATATGGAATATGTTCACCAAATTAGATTTGATTAGGTTATTTGGGGTGCTGATTCAGAAAACTGCATTGGATAGACCACATCAGCTCTTAGTTTCTGATACAGAACATATACCATCCAGTAGTTGCCATCTGCTTGCCCACAGAAAATCATATTTAATAAGTCTCTGCATTATAAGAGGATTTCGTGACCAGTCACTCTCATTGCAATGGTTTAGTAAGATGAGGCTGCAGACCATATTTTAGTTATTGAGGACCACTGGCGGTCCACAGACCAAAGGTTGAGAACCACTGTTATAAGGGGGTGGGTTAACCTCCAGTTTGCTAGTGAAACTAAAGTACTGTGTTGCGAAATGATGCATGTCTAAAAAGCATGTTACTAATATGAAATGTTTGGAAAGGTTTGGTTTAGATAGTGAAGGAGACTTAATGTTTGCGGTAACTCAGTGATGTTCTCTGATGGGAGATGGGAATTTGTGGCTCTCTAGGTGTTGTTGCTGCCTGCCATAATATGCATGGCCAACAAGCAGGAATGATGTGAGTCGTAGTCCAAAAATATACGAACAGTCACAGACTCCCTACCTCTTAGTCTCTCTCCTTAATTAAACCAAACCTGTATAATTCCTTATATGCAATTGGGAGAGGAAATGACAGTGTAGAGTAAGAGTTCAGTTAAATGCACAATGCATTGCCTTTCTTCTCATGTAGTACTAAACTACTGTTGGTGGTTTGGCTTCATGCACACTCCCACCTCTGGCACAGTCAGAAGACTAGAAATTTCCATATTATATTAACCACAGTTCTGTGTATTATTATTTCCAAAAGCCAAGCATATTAATCGTAATTTTGGTTTGTTCAAACAAATCACCCTTGCAATATAAGTCTGAGGTTGACTTGTTTAAGGTGCAATTCGTTTAAAATGCAAATGAAAACTTCCCAGTATCTTGCAGCCATCCCACTGTAGAATGGAATGCGCAAAATCTCAAAGTCAACACTGATCCAAAACACACATTCACACCCCAACTGTAATCAATCATGAACAATTATAACTGTGGTGGCCTTGAGGAATGCATTTAACTGTCCTTGTGGACAACAAGTTAAACATGAGCCAACAATGTGATGCTGCTGTTCAAAAAGCCAATGGGATTTTGGCCTGCATAAATAGGAGTATAGTGTCTAGATCCAGGGAAGACATGCTACCCCAATTCTGGGCACCACAATTGAAGGAGGTATTGACAAGCTGGAATGTGTCCAGAGGAGGGAGATTAAAATGATCAAGGGTCTGGAGAACAAGCCCTATGAGGAGTGGCTTAAAGAGCTGGGCATGTTTAGCCTGCAGAAGAGAAGGCTGAGAGGAGACATGATAGCCATGTATCAAGATGTGAGGGGAAGTCATAGGGAGGAGGGAGCAAGCTTGTTTTCTGCTGCCCTGGAGATTAGGACATGGAGCAATGGCTTCAAACTACAGTAAAAGAGTTTCCACCTGAACATTAGGAAGAACTTCCTGACTGTGAGAGCTGTTCAGCAGTGGAACTCTCTACCCCGAAGTGTGGTGGAGGCTCCTTCTATGGAAGCTTTTAAACAGAGGCTGGATGGCCATCGGTTGAGGGTGCTTTATACACAATTGTCCTGCTTCTTGGCAGGGGGTTGGACTGGATGGCCCACAAGGTCTCTTCCAACTCTATGATTCTATGAACAATGGATCTAGACAAGCCCTCAATATCATATTGCCAACAAAGCTTCATCTATTTTTCTCCAAGTCTCATATGCATTTCCATGTGAGTAGTTGGCAGCTTCATTTATCCTTTGGGTGACAATGGAAAAATACACATTTCTGCATGTAGCTCTTCCTTCATCAACATGTGATAGTACTTTGCTCATAGTAATAATTGAGCAGGACAGTGCTGGTCACAAAAGAAAAACGCAGGGTAACAATGATGAGACAGTGCCCTTGCTAAATAATTCATCTGGAGATAGGCAACTATTAGGATGTTCCTTGTTACGTGCAGCAGTGTCACATTTCTCCATAATATGCACATTTCAGTTTGTTCCTTTAAAGAACGCATGTTTAAGATTGGTTTCTGAACATTTCCAAGGCATTGCTTATCACAGCTTTGAAAATTGCAAGAAATCACAACTATTTCAATTGTTACACATGTCCTGATGGTTTGGCATAGTGTACAGCACTCATTTTTCCAGGAAATTAGGCCAAGGTAATTAACAAAAGATGGCTGTGTAATGAATAATCTTCATGTGGCAATGGAAGATTTGTACTACATTGGCTTGATTCAGAAAAAATAGATCAGTGTAACACGCCTTTGTGTATACAACACAAAATAAAAACATAATCATGTGTTTCATATTAGTTAAAAGCAAAGGATTATGGTTTGATTGAATTACAGTTATTGCATTCAAGAGGCACATGATTAGATGCCTCGAAACTGTTTGTGATACAACATGTTCTTCAGTGCTGTGAGATAAACAAATTATCATTTCTGCTATTTGTCTGATTTGCATCAGTATGCAAGCCTATAACTCTTCTCTCAATTTCTTTCCCGCTTGCTCTAGGAAACATTTTCCACAATGGTTGCTCTGGGGTGGGGCAAATGAGGATATCCACAAGTGCAGATCCAGAAAACAAGGAAGGGTAAGGAGAACAAAGGGAAAATGTACAGCAGGAAATGGAATGGAATATAACACTGGGGCAAGAAGAGGTTCAGACAGGGCGAGTACTAAAAACAGAAAGGAAGCAAGTTAACCACTGATTTGTTCTCTCCCCTCCTTCCCCATTCAAGCACAACCCTGCAAGATCAGAAGCCTATCTGCACAGCTTTCCGTTCACACAATGGTTGACTCATTCCATGGCACTACTTTAGCCGTTCCTCAGCTAGCCACATACAGAGGCATCCTGCTGCTGCTTAGAGTTGTCCCCCTAATTTTGTGGGTCCCACGTTCGCAGTTCTGAATACAGGAAGTCCCCAAGTAACGAACAAGAAAGGTTCTGTAAGGCTGTTCTTAACTTAAATTTGTATGTAAGTTGGAACAGGGATATTTTTTTAAATGTAAAGTAGAGGTAAAAGTTTCCCCTTGACATTAGGTCTAGTTGTGTCTGACTGGGGGGGTGGTGCTCATCTCTATTTCTAAGCCAAAGAGCCAGCGTTGTCTGTAGATGCCTCCAAGGCCATGTGGCCGGCATGACTACGTGGAGAACCATTACCTTCCTGGCAAAGCAGTACTTATTGATCTACTCACATTTGCATGTTTTTGAACTGCTAGATTGGCAGAAGCTGGGCCTAACAGTGGGAGCTCACCCCACCCCGAATTCAAACCACTGACCTTTTGGTCAGCAAGTTCAGCAGCTCAGCGATTTAACCCCACTGGGGGCTCCTAAATGTAACTCCAGCCGAAAAAAATAGATATGTATTAGCTTTGGCTAGCATAGGGAAGGGTTAACATCCCTGTGGTTTTTGTTTTACTATCTTTGTCTTTGTTCAGAAGGTTTCACCTCACTATCTCTCTCTGTGATAACTGGATTTTGGAAAATGTGGCTTGTGGTAGAAACAAGGATTGTTGAGAAAACTACAGTGGAGACAGCTTCCCCCCATGATAACAACTCTTCTTGGAGTAGATTTTCCTTCTGAGGGGTAGGTTTTTCTTACTTGAATTGTCTCAGCCCTGTTTGTAACTATGAGTCATTTGTATGTGAGATGTTTGTAACTCGGGGGCTGGCTGTATAGCAAACCTGAGCCGCTACACAACTCCTGAAGTTGGGACTGCTCTTGTCAATATTTGCACGGCAACTTCATCCTCAGAAGGTGAGAGGAAGTGCCACTCTCCATGAAGTTGGCATCCCACACATTGCTGTCTCACCTAGCATCTCCCTTGCTTTGACCAGGCAAAACAGATGTCCAAAACACACAGGATCTGGCCCTGCTGTGCACCACTTTAACCTGGAGATCTGTCTCATCTTCCTCTTTCTATGTACCATGAATGTTTGTTTC